ACACGGCTGTAACACCACCAGGGACATCTTTGCCAAGGGTTCCTTGCCCTCCATCCAACGTCCCAGCGGCTCTGCCGAGGACACCAAACACGTGGACGGTGACATGTAGACTATAAGTTGATACCCTCTACCAGGGCGACAGTTAGATTTTTTACAGATATTCACAGATATGTTTCTAGATAGATAGACGGTCATTTTGGTCTGTAGTCATCTATCTATCTATGTAGTCATCTATCTGTCGCCCTGGTAGAGGGTAATAAGTTGACTAGTTAAGATATCAACGCTGTGTCCACACTGTGCCTCAGTGCAAGGCTAGGACGACGCGAGATGGCGCTAGTTAAATCTCAGAGAACTGTGAACGCGTGGTTTGAATCAGCTGCAGCAGCAGTTTCTGTTTTAATAAAGTAGGTAAAATGAGGGGTGCACAGTTAGTTTTATTTTTCATATTTGTATTGTATTTTGAGCAATGTGTATACGCTAGGGCACTGCGCCCAGTCTTGACGGATTTTATCAGAGTAGCTCGATTATTTCTATCAAACCAACATTTTCTGTTGGATCGATCACGCATAGAAAAACGTTTTATCAAATAGCAAACATTATCTCTGCACAAGATAGAATATGTTGAGCATCAGGGAAACGTTTTTTTTTTCTAATTCAGTTTTCTTGATTATGTGCCTGGTATGGCGGTCATAGACGACCGGAATTTGAGTGATTGTGGTTAAATGCAGCGAGTTAATATTCTAATTATTTTTCATATATAATGTTTATACTTCACTGTAAACACTTAGTTCTACGTATATATTCAGTCATTTAAATGTTTTTCTATGATTTGTGCCTATTTATTTTGTACAGCTATCTTCACTGACAGATCATTCTGATGTAAAATTTACGAGATTTATAATGTATAATAAAGTACCACTGTAATCTCAACAGCAGCAGTAACTTGCAGATCTCCCGTTGTTGAACTACTTCAAACCCTAACTTTAGGCGTGATACGTGAATCTGGTTAACCTTGAGTACATCGTACAGTTGCTCACCGAGTTCCAGTCTTTAGCATGCAGAAGAGGCGCCATCAGAACACACGCCCACTGCCCTGCACCCTGCTGCATGCTTTGCTTCAGTTTTTTTTTTCTTTTACCTGTTTTTTACCTCAGTTTTTTTTTTTTCTTTTGCCTGTTCTTTACCTCGGTTTGTTTTTTACTTTTACCTGTTCTTTACCTCAGTTTTTTCCTATTGGCCAGTTTGTAAGTTCACAACCTTAATCGAAATATCATGGACGTATTTTGATGAAAAAATTCTGAATAGTTCAGAAATGGATAATCTTTGAATCGATTACATTTTGGTAGTTTTCCGTGAGTAAACGAATGTAGTGAATGGATTTGATGATAAAAAGAATTCAGGTGCCTTGGCGGAGTTCTGCGCTCTCTGAGTGATTTTTTTTTTTTTTATTTCAATTACAATTGTTTTTAACGACAACCTAGATACAGGGTTGAATGCTGGCCATGACGTAAGTAGGATAGAACCCCCGTCATTAGTACGGCCTCATTACCGGCGCTAACTAACATCATTTCTTAACAAGAACGGTCTAATGGAAGAGCATAACGTAACCAATGGATATTTGTGTGGTTTCACAAGTCATAAGAAGGGGGCAAGGTGACCTTCATTGATTTCTGAGGTTTGAAAAACATACTCGTCTAAAATTGGACCTGGACAAGATTTTAACCAAGCTTATTACTGGAGGAATTGTTGTATGTATTCAGTGGTGATAATTGAGAAAATAATAAACCTTGTGACCAAACTGAGTATGTATGATATAAGGCAGAGAGCTAGCAGGCCTTCCCAACTATCAGACTCGGCACCGAATGATCCTGAATTCACCGGGAGATCGGACCACACTGCCAGTTTTCAAGGTGTGCGTCAGTACGCGTTAGCTCACCCTGAGCTCAATGAATTTAATTTTTATGAAACTCAGCCCAGACTACCAGCTTCTGAGCTTTGTGCTAGCGTAAATTCGTGTGTGCTGAATGACCCAAGTTATAGCCATTCTGTTTCACAAATGAATTACAGCTCGAAAATTCATCGGAATATTTAGACCATTATTTTAGTTAACTTTGACCCAAAGTAAAAGTTTATTACAAAGAAAACAATGGCTAAAATTAACCCCATTTACACTGGACGGCGTCCTTGCTGCGTCCTTTGTGCGACCATGAAACTGGCATCGCTGTGGTCGTAGAAAGGAGGCACAAGCATTGCTTTGGTTGCAGAATGAATGCTCAATGATCGGCCAGTTGTCGGCACGTAAAGTATTATGTTTTCACTCTAAAACGGGGCCGTGATAGGATACATGTACCTTCTTTTTAAGTGGACAATTACTTACGAATTTATTATGGACTAAAGAAGACTAAAAATCAGGCTTAAAAGTTGAGGTATGGGCTAAACACCCTTTTGTGCCACCGAACCATGATGTTAGTTTAGTCGACTTCATGTATAGTTGTCGGTTAGTTAGCTAAACTAAAGACGCCGTCACACCAAGCACAAAGAAGTGAGTACATGTAGGTACAGTAACGAATTTAATGGGGGGGGGGGGGGTCCTGATCCTACCCCCTTCGGTTTTTAGGGGAAAAAAACACACTAAAAACGTCTTTCCGCTGACCTCTCGATTCCTCTGAACTCATCAATTTTAATTTTTTTTAAAACAAATAATGCTGATGTTTTTAGCCAGATGTTGTGCTTGAATCTTGTAATTTTGTAATACTTTTGTCAGACATTTAGGGATACTTCACACCAAAAACGTACATCAAAGCCTTTGTACTCGAGACGATCTATAGCATTATCATTACGTGGTTTGGTTATATAAACGTTATAATGATAACGCTATATTAATTTTCTTTGTTTACTGTGCACGACGTATGTCTATGTGTAGAATTTCTTATACGCTATATATATATATATATATATATACACACACACTGGACAATAGAAGTGTCACCCCCTGAATCAGAGTAATCAAAGTTAAAAAGCCTGGTCTATTTATAATGTGACTAATGATTAAAAAACCGCCGTACCATGGAATTGTATTGTTGGTCTTTTCGTGAAATTTGATCTTAATAAAATGATACCAGGAGCATATCATTCCACAGTCATTTATCTCCCCCAAAGTATTGGTTCAGTAGGGGTGACACTTCTATTGTCCAGTGTGTATATTTATATATATATATATATATATATATATATATATATATAAAGTGGGACAGGAGCTTTAAACAGAACATGTTTGGCTCACTGGCGTATTTTTAAGCTTTATGAATGTAATTTGTGCACTTTGTGTACAGAGTCAGCTCAAGGTAGCGGGTTCATTCGTTTTATATTCGTCCAAGTTGTATACTACGTGTATATTATTGAAGGGTTTCAAGTTCCAACACTGAAATAACAAAGCTCAAAGTGTACGCATTTTATACTGATGTTAGACTATGCATATCATTGTACCGTGACAACGTGTATGGAACGCCATTCACGCAAAAAATGCAGACGTCAATTCAACAATCTATCGGCACTATTTAACAGCCAAAACCTACTTAAACTATCTAAACTTAATTCTACTAAATTAGTTTTGGTCATTTTAATCATTCGTCAAAATCTAACAATCAATAAACGATTCAAAAGTCAGTTACCGCAACTCAACAATGCATTTTTTGCGTGAATGGCGCGAATGCATGGAACGCCATTCACGCAAAAAATGCAGACGTCAACTCAACAATCAGGTATCGCAAACGGAATTAAGTTTAGATAGTTAAAGTGGGTTTTGGCTGTTAAATAGTGCCGTTGAATTGACGTCTGCATTTTTGCGTGAATGGCGTTCCATAAACGTGGCCTGGATGCCGTCTGTGAGTTGGCTGGGTATGGTTGGGGGGCGGGGGGGGGAGGGGGGGAAGTTGTCGTTTGGGAAGCGAGGAGATATAGAGCGATCCTGTATTCTAAAGTGCTAGTGTTCCTAGCCAAGTTTACCAGACTCGGCACCGAATGATTCCGAATTCACCGCCAGGTCTTCTGGCCCTGGTTTCACAAAAAAACTTAAGTCAGGTTCCCTTTAATTGCCAAGGTTACATGGTCACATGGGTACATCTTACCCTATCAGGAGCAGTGTAACAGCACTCTCATGGAAATCCTAGTCAACTAAGCCAGGAAACTGACTTTTGTGAGACTGGGGCCCGGACATCAGAGTGAGAGATGGTAAGAATCTCGGCTTCACTTTGGGTCACCAACACGATATCAACGTCCAAAACCAAGTGATGACGATCTCAATACGTAAGTGACACAGTGGCACTGGTCTTTATTTCTCATTTATACACACTGTGACGTAAATACAAAAAGATGCCGTTTAAGTTTGATGTGCAGTGTCTTGTAGATGCCAAATGTCTCTTTAATATGTATATGTGTATGTATATGTAGAACAACTCGAGTGTTCTGTCTTGACATTCCCCTATGTCGCATCCCTCCCTGCGGGCATTGAGCCATTGGAGACAATGCATTTATGGTCAAGTAATCGCGAAATCGTTAAATGGAAACAAATGAACAATAGTTATTGCACTTTTCATTTTAAAAAATCAAACCCCATCCTTTAAAATGATAAATATTCAAAACAATCTTAGGTAATCAATCACAATAAATATATTAATTCTTGAATAAGTGGTTTATGTAAGCTGTCGGTTTTGCTTTAGACTAGCAGATATAATCTATGTTTATTGGAAACATCCGTATTACATAAATGATCGTAGTGAGCAGCAAAAGGAATGTTTTCTAAGACTACTGGCCCCGAAGCTCTGAACAGGAGGGCCAGTTACATGTGCCCTCTTGAACGTCACCGCTGTGAAGAATCCGTAGGTTATTAAGATTACGCAGTTATTGTACACCAATCCTAATTAAGGGTCTTTTCCGCCGTGTGTGGTATACGGGACGGGGAAACTTTTGCCATCTAAAGGGATTCCATTTGGGCATAAATAATCACAAATGAACAGCGTGACTAGAGGTTTACCCAACAAATGCGGCGATCACAAGTTGTTTGACGTCTGTGATGCCGAGCTAAAGGTGGAAACCTTTCTCACATTTAGAGTTTGCTGGGTCATCGACTTCACCATTTTCCTCGTGGACGGAGGCTTGTAGCAATAATGAGCGAGGAAGAAGAACAGGGCAGTCAAACACTTGACGCCGAGGCCGAGGAAGAAGAAGTTCCTCCCCATCAAGGCGCTGTCGTAAATCCAACACGAGCCGTTCTCCGTGCAGTTTTGCTGCCAGAGCTGACACGTACCGTCAATGATGGCGCCGAACAAGATTGGTCCCGGTACCGTGCCTGCAATGTCAAGGTCACATAGTCAGCCTATACATACATACATACATACATACATACATACATACAGTACCGTGCCTGCAATGTCAAGGTCACATAGTCAGCCTATACATACATACATACATACATACATACATACATACATACATACATACATACAGTACCGTGCCTGCAATGTCAAGGTCACATAGCCTATACATACATACATACATACATACATACATACATACATACATACAGTACCGTGCCTGCAATGTCAAGTTAACATGGGCAGCCCCCCCCCCCTCCCCACACACACACACACACACACACACACGTATATACAATATAGAACATCGTTTGAACATGTTTGTATGTACTGGTATGTATGTATGTATACGTGCATACACACATTTTACACTAGATTATCTTTTGTATCATTTGCTAAAAACAAAGGCAACCAAGCCTAAAGTTATACAGTATCTTTATAATACATGTATATGGCGGACGGCTATATTCTAATACAAAATAACAACTAGTACTGAGAATATAATAATTACGGTCGCATTTGAAGTATATTATGTGAGATGTGCTACTTTGAGATGCGACAACTTCGTGGTAACTGACAATAATGTGACTCTCTCCGAATAACAAAAAAAAACGCAAAATTCTCTCGAAGAATGAACGAATTGTTATGTTAATTTTAAAAATTGTTACCTAAGAATCTGATGAAAACCCACTGCAAGCCAAGACCAAAGGCTCTCTGTCCGTCAGGAATACACCTGGTAAATATAATATAATATAATATAATATAATATAATATAATATAATATAATATAATATATAGCACCGGTATGATATGAGCTGTCACAGTACCGCCATCTATTGCGCGTTTCACCAGGAATACAACTGGTAGAGATATGTGAGGTCACCAGAAAATACATGTATAATCTCATAATATCGTCGGCATTGTGACGTCATCAGTTATATTTCGACCATAGAGAGGTTTGAATCTCTTATTTTTTTTTTTATTTTTTTTTTTTTTAGCTTTCAAAGATGTAAACAAATTGAATGACACATGATTTCGATGTTACTCATCTGGTTATTTGTACAAGCACGAAAAGTTACTTTCATAATGTATTTAATGTGTTTATTGTCATGTTTATATGAACCAAAAAAAACCAACAATAAATGTACGTTATCTAAATTCTTGTTTACTGCACATTTTTCTACTGTCTCATATAATTTGGTTTTCGTAAATTTACCTATGTTACAAGATGCGAGAAGGCCCATCCCACCCAAAGCATTCCTCTAAGACTAAGACCCTGATGACCGCTTGATTGCAATCATCCACACCGTACCTGAGAGTAACAGAGGTGGCCGGGGTAGCCGACATGAACGTAAATAGTATCAGCACCAATGCAATGGGTAAGAACAGGTACAGCGTCCAACACTCGGCGGTACAGCGTCCTGTGGTGATGCTAGCCGCGGCAGAGACGTTAGAACCCAGCTCCTCGGCGATACAGCTACAGTCTGTGTACACCTGAAACGAGTGGATAAAGTATGACAGTAGCCATACCTCACGTATGGGGGTATAGTCAGGGTATACTGTATGCTTCTTATGGGAATAATCCAGTAGTTCAGCTTTTTTTCTAATATAGCATTATCTTTTGAACATGAAACAAGTCTTTTAAAGCGGAATTCCAGGATTGAACCGTTTTACAACCACTAGCTGGTATAAAGTGTAAATGAATTAATGTGGAAATTTGACCAAAGTTTCGGACTGTCAAAGTGTGCCAATATTATTAGAAACGTATTCTAGCCGGATGCAGAAAAGAAAATAAAACATTTTTATTTATTCCCCGATTTTCATTTCCTGGTTCCTTCCGCAATGCATAAAAACTATTTGCAGTTTTCAGAAAAACATGTCATCAACATCATATACGTCAGTGTAAAGGCATGGAAGCTCTCGGGACAAGCTTGTACAATTTTCAGTAATGAGCATCGGTTTCAATACTTTGAAATACATTTGTAGTTATAATTTACAGAAAATTACAACAAATTTGTTACCTTTGATCCGTTGACCAGCGCAGACGACAGGCAACCGGCGTGACAGGGGGTGAAGTACTCCTGGCCGTTCAGACAGATGGGTTCAAAGCTGGAGGTGGTGCACCCGCACCCGGCGTTACACTCCGCTGTGATGTTGTTAACCTGGACGGTGGTGCTGTAATGTTATACAGACAACATTCAAACTAACAGAATAAAAAACAAAACAGAAAATAATTTATTGAAACTGGACCTGGGAGGATACAAAAATGGCGCTGATATCACAGGTGTAGAGGTGGAGCCGGTGTGACAAGAATGGTATTGCTAGGAATGGAAGTCCGGGCTCCCATATAATTATATAATTAATTAGTACAGGTTTAGGTTAGTCGGAGTATTATGAGGTTATTACATGGGACGAATTTCACCTGTACAAGGTAACAGGGAACCGAGTTGTTAACAGCGGATTTCCATTCCTGTTACACCCGACCCCGTTTCACATAAGACGTCGAATGAACAACACCAAAAATATTTAGCCGACTTTGATCTAGCAGAAGACTTGGGCCACGCTCTTTGTATAAAGTACTATCAAACGGATAATTTGCAAAATGCCAAATTTGATATTTGGTTAAAACAAGATTTTTATTTTTTTACATAAGTGTCATTGAGCAAAACAAGGATCGGAGTGTGGGAGATTTTTGAAAAAAATCATGTATGGCGTGATCCTTATAAAAGTGTCAACCTTTTCGAATTCCTTTTTTTTTCAGTCCAACAGTATTCTCTCACATTTCTTTTGGGTGGAGTCTAAATTAGTGCCTAAAGCAATACTGGTATACAGATAGATGTATACAGCAGGCCTCAAATAGCTCCCCAGACATTGTCCAAAGTCTACGACCCTGCACACAGTACCTGTTTGGGTATGGTATATCAACTCCGAATACGGACGGCGTTTCACAACTGATCCAAAACGAGGCAGCCAGCAGTGCTGCCATGACGCAGGCTGTCATACTGAGCTTTAACATTCCTTTCACTTTCAGTTTCATTTTACTGGAGATGATGCCACCAAGCAGCTGACCACCCGCCGCCCCGGGAACAGCCACGAATCCTGGAAATAGGTCAAGGTCAGAATAAGCAAACTTGTGTGCATGCTTCTTCACTATGTAAAATCTTCAAATAATGAATCAGGTTTTGAAATAGCAACAATCTCTTCTATGCTTTTCATTTAAGTTGAATATATCTCATGCAAAAATTACAGTTGTCAACTTTCTCTTCCTAGGTTAGTAAAATCGTTGATATTCCGCACAAACGACTGCAGAATGTGATGACCAAGGTTACCACGGCCACCTCCCTGGGGATAACACTGAAAGGTAATTAAAGCTTTATTTAACCCTTGTTAACCAAATCTAAGACACTTCTCCCCACCTGTCAACATGGCGGCCCAGCTGGCCGTCAGTCCGAACTGGTTTTGTAAGAGTTTGGGGAGAAATGTAGCGAAGCCACTAGTGACTAGCCCTTCAGTGCAGCCAGCCAGCGTCACGAACACGAACGTCGGGTTCTTCAGAATAACCTGAAATATTTCACTTCAAATGATTAATTTTTTCCACGCTGCTTGTTGCGTTTTACGACATATCAATGATAATAGAGAGCTGATCTGATGATATAAACTTTCTGGTTTTGTTATTAAGCCGTCATGTAAGGATGTATCTAAACTACGCTTGGGCGAGTCTCATGAAATGTACAATATCAACCCATATTATAGGGTTGAGGTAATTTCAATGCAAAATAGAAGCACAAAACAATATACTTAATAATCAGATGAAATCTGAACAATTAAGTCACATACATGTACACTGTGACGTCAAATGAATCCATCTGCATACTTAATTGACTTTTGCATTAAAATATTCGCAGTCCAAAGCTGAATATCACAAAATCAAACAAGTTGAAATTTGCACATAAAAGATGACAAAAAAAACACATGTCCTCACATGTCTACAACACATTTCTTCCCTCAGAAGACGTACCTTTGCCGCGGTTGGCATGTCCCTGATAGACTTGCCAAAGCCAGGTCGGTTGACTTCGTCTTCGCCGCCATCTTGGTGGGCCTGGGACTCTCTGGTTAATCGCACCTCCTTGGCGGCTGGAAGGATCAATCACTTCAATGATCACTCCAGAAACTCAGCTGAATTATTTAAGGGCGCTTTACTCGTGATTGTCAAGAGCACATGTATTGGTTAGGAGAAATTCCCTAGTCTAAATTTTTAGGCTAGACACATTGCTAGGTGTTTAGTGACGTCATAATACTTAATACACTAGTGTCGTCAGGCGCGTTTCGTACAATATAAGACCAGTATATAAAGGGTGACGTATTTTAGACTGGGTTCCCATGCCTAGATCGATCCATCTGGATCGGGCTAAATCCCTGGGGAGTCTCACTAAATTGCTATCAACTAACCGGCTTAAATGTCTGTCAGGCCTATCGAATCAGCTAGGGGGTAAAATAATTACCCTCAAGCAGCTATACTAAGCGTGACAGACATTTAAGACAGTTACGTTGATAGGAATTTAGTGAGACTCCCCAGAGAGATAGATCGATCCAAATATCTGTCTGAATGGTCCCTTAATCTACCCTACTGTCATTCAATCAGAAAAACGGGGCGTATCCCCCGTGAACCCCTGACTTACTGGGGAGCTCCCTGGGGTAAGCACACAGAGCCACGGTCACCGTCCACGCTAAGAAACCAGCCATCACAAACCCCAGCCACCATGCTCCAACCCAGCGAGGATCTTGTGGGGTTATGTTGACACTGAAACGAACACGTGCACGCACGCAAATACACTGAATTAGTATGAGATGGACAGAAAAACATATGATCGATGAATAAATTTAAGTTTCATTTAACGTATCTTTTATGTCATCAGTGATTGAATCAAAATTATATTCGATAAATTAGATCAAAAAATTCAAATTCTGCAAATAAAGAGATAGCCAAATGCCAATTTAAAATGTTTGAATCCTATCATTATCTCCTAGAGTTCTGTACATGTATCAAGGATTACTTAGTATCGTTATCAATAGAGTACTTATATTTCTCTCTGTCGTATATACATTATTTTTGAAATTATAAATACAAACAAAACTGATATATTAAACTCACTTTTCTACATTAACATTTTCAAAGTCGACGTAGATATTAAGGAACTGGCCTCCGACTATATATCCAATTGCTGGCCCCAAAGCGGAGAACGCGTACAGAATGCCTGGATACGGGAGAATAGCGAGATAAACATTTTGGTATATTCAAATTGCAATTTGATGTTATACTATATTATTCTTTTAAAAATTATAATAATAATGTGAATTTGTTCTAGCACAATTATTTCACAATAGGTCATCAAATCACACGTCACATAAATATGAACTTAAGCTCGTATAAGCAATAATTACCTGCTAATCTATAATATTAGGGCTAAACGACCTTTATACCCATCAATACTATGTAGTAGAGTCAGTGTAAAGTTACAAATCTCCCTCTCTCTCCCTCTCTCTCTCTCTCTCTCTCTCTCTCAGAAAGAGGGAGGCGGCATCGTGTACTAACCTATGTATATAGGCGACACCTTGGTCTTCACGTTCTCGTCTATAAACACTGTCCCAAGGGAGTACAGTGTGGTCCCGCCCACCCCGTGCAGGAGCTGTCCCAGGATCAGTACGTACAGGTAGTTCTGGAGGTACGAGTTCTGTGGATTAACGGTACACGCTGTGGAGTTCCCAGTACCTGCAGGATATTGAATGATAAGTTAATATTGCTGAGTGAGGAAATAATGCTGTGAGGGCCGTGGTCAAGCCCTGAGTTTCAGAGGCTACTTGAGACTCATCTCTCTGCTATAAGCACGGCTCAGTCGTTACCAGGGCCATCTGAAACTCTGGTTGACTAAACAGTTTATTCCAACGAAATAATGTGTACTAAAACGCGTATTCTAAAATCAAATTTAGAAAAAAATTAATGACGAAATGTATCTTTTAAGATTTAGAATAAAACATTTTTTTAGATTTAAAATTCTATAAATCGTCTGTTGATTAGAAATGGTAGCGTCTGCGACAAGTCAGTCAGTATTGAAACCTTGTGCTTTGTAGATAAAACATTTTTAAAAACTCTTTTGAGGCGATTTACTTTTTTTCACGTAACAATGTGACAATATAAATAATGCTAGTTTCATCTCTGCGTTGACAGCATTGTGTGTGGAAATTAAATCAATGGAGATTATGTCCGCACTTTCCCCGCGTTGGCTGTCGCCCCCCCCCCCCCCTTTTACCTGTAC